ACAGGCTGACATACCTGGAACACTGCAGTTACTGCAGATAAAGACTGTGAAGGTACCATTTTATCCTGGCTGCTCTCCTCAGCCAAAACCACTGCAGCAAGCTGGGTTAATGCGTGGATTCACATGCTGCCACCACCAATGCAGCCTCTGCTGCTGCACCTTTCTCTGCACACTCACCCCAGCTCTAAACCTGGCTCCCACCCACATCAGCCTAGGAGCTCTTGTGCCTCTCAACACTCCCTCAGGTTGTCTAGGTCCGAGGGTGCATTGAAGATGCTGCTCAAATGCTAGAAACACCAGATGAAGGGACAACACTTACAAGGAATGCTCTTTAAGTAATACTTAAAACTAGTGCTCTGACCACCGTTAACTTTCTTGGAACGCACCAATGAGCACACTGCGGCAAGCTCTCCTCGTTAAATTTCAGTGTGACAGAGCAGAATCTCAGAGTGTTTGTCATAAGTGATTCTCTTTAGCAGTAAAAACACATCATTACTTTTACTGTTAAGCAGGTATCCTGCTTGTACAGGTTTACTTGATTATTTTCCATGCTAGATAAAATAACCAACTGGAACAGTCAACAATGAGTAGTAACCTCCAGGTCTGTCACCTATGCCAACTGCAGCTGGATCATATCTCTACCCTTTTCTTTATGCAGCACTCGTGATTTTGTCAGAATAATGTGTTTTAAAATATTTAGACATTGTTTAGCCAAATGCTCCTCTATGATTCTATGATACAACATTAGATACAATGACCTACCTTCTTGTGCTAGACAAAGCTCCAGGGTAATGGCTATTTTGTAACATCAGAATTAGCAGTGAAATTCAGAACTCTTTAGCCAGTCCCTGAAATATTTAACGTAAAATAAGATGCAACCTCCCCTACCTCAACTTCCAGACAATAACCCAGAAGGGACTGCTTCAGGGAAGATTACTCTTGCCTACAGATAACAGAGAGCAAGAAAAGCATCTGAAGAAAAGAACATTATTTTTCAAACCCTTTACTCTATTTTTCTCCCCAACCACATGTTCTTGCTACTTTCTGTTGCTGGGTTTATTTTTATAGAGAGCAATGATTTATGGGAGGACTCCTGACTTTCAACCAACTGTAGCCACTGCTGAGATCAGGGAACAAACCTGAGCTCAATTAGTCATGGAGTAATCCGCTATTTCTCCACCCGCACCACCACCACCACCACCCCTCCCGCCCCCATTAAATGAACACAGTATATTTGAAAGTATTTTTCTTGCATGGAAAACCAACACAATCAGCAGAAGGAAATGAGGGGAAACTATAAAAATGAATAAAACAAGTGCTCAAAGGTAGAAAATGTGCACTTTTCCACCTACAAATCCTAGTCTAGTAACTGTATGTGCTATAGTATTAAGTAAAACAGTTCAGAAATGAGTTGATGATTAAACTGAAGCTGACTGAAGTTTCTCAATCTATTTTCACCTTCCACTTGTGCTGCTGGAATCACACAAACTTGCTCTAAGGTTAGAGAGCTGAGAGCACCGTGTCCCAGAACATTTCCTCTCTTAGTTGTGAGCAGTGTTTGATTCAACCAGTCCAGCCCAGTTCAGCACTGTTTAGCCTTGTCTAGCCCAGCTTGACCAGCCCAGCCTCATTTACCCCAGTTCAGCCTAGTTTGGCCCAATTCAGAGCTGTCCAGACCAATTTAGCACAGTTCAGCTGGCTTTAGCCCAATTCAGACTAGTCCAGCACACTTTAGCCCTCTTGAGCCCCTACATACATGAAAATAACAGTGGTTGGGGATCAACAAGCTGGGTATACTAAGTCAGTAACTAATTGATAAGCTTCCACCAAACCATACACTGGGAGCTTCCTGCCAGTCTGTATCATTTCAAAGCTTGCAGCTATTACAAGAATATTATGATATTAACTTGAATTTTGTCCTTCTGTCCTCAGTGACTTGACTCCAGCTTTGACCATGGTCTTAGATCATTGTATCCCGCAGTCTCCAGCAGTGAACCCCCTTATCTACAGCCTGAGGAACCAGGAGCTCAAGAATGCTCTGAGGAAGATGGTGACTGGATGTGTTTCAGCAGTCATACACTGCCTGCTGTCCTTGGCAAAGGGCTCCAAGCGTAGGTCATGCCAGGCCAAGTCTGTCTTTTCTGCTTTCCAGTTGATTTTCTTTTTCCACTTGTGATGTTGTTGTCTTCAAAGACATATCAGTTTTCATCCCCTGCTACTTCAGTATCTGCCCCCCTTGTCTGACCTATAGACTTTGTGTCAATGGAGGTCTTTCATTCAATTTAAGTACAATAAACCATCCTGCAGCAACTTCTTCTCTTGTGATGTGTCCTCACATGGCAGGAATGAAGGGGAATGAAATCAGCTTTCTGGCTGCTCCAGCTCTGGGATGCCTGCTCCATGCCAGGAGCAGGAAGAGCTCTTGAGAAACCCAAGGGCCGGGGCTGTTGTGCTGGTGTGGGGAGATGGGATGGCATGGGGGGGCTGCAGACCTCTCAGGGTGTCCTGGGCAGGAGAGGAGGGGACACAGGGGACCCTGCAGGGGACTGCCCTGCAGTGGCACAGGCTGGGGCTGCCTGGCTGAGAACAGCCCATGGGAAAGGTCTGTGTGGGCAGGAGCTGGACAGGAGGCAGTGTGTGCCTTGGCAGCAAGGGAGGACAGCAGCATTGCGGGCTGTATGACCAGGAGCATGGCAGGAGAACAAGGGAAGGGATGATCTGGAATGCTCCATCCAGGTTTCAGATCCCCAATTCAGGAATGCTATTGGCAAGCAAGAGTGAGTTTATCGATGGGCCCTCAAGACAGGCAGGGACTGGATCACGGTGCCTGTGGGGAGAGGCTGGGGGAGCTGGGCTTGTCCAGCCCAGAGAAGGGAAGGCTGATGGAGACCTGAGATCTTGGGAGGGGAAAGCTGTCAGGGACTGGCTGCCTGTAGCGGCAAGGAGGACACGGAGAATACAGAGCCAGGCTCCTCACCATGGTGCCTGGTGGGAGGACAAAAGGCAATGGGGGAAAGTGACAGAGGAGAGGTTCAGCCAGGAGAGAAGGAAACCTTGTTTCCGTAGGCTCAGTCAAGTGCTGCATCAGGTCACCCAGAGAGGCTGTGCAGTCTCTGGCCTTGGGGATTTCCAGCTCAGATTGAATCAAGTCTTGAACCACTTGCTCTGACCCTGTTCCTGATGACCTGCTGGAGTCCCTTCCAGCCTCTATTCTCTTATGATCCTACAATGATGGGCTTACGAAGGGTCACAAAGATGCTCTAAGGCCTGGAGCATATCTCTGGTGAACAAAGGCTGAGAGAGCTGGGGATGTTCAACCTGCAGAAGAGAAGGCTCCAGGGAGGCCTTACTAGGACGTTACCTAACAGGGCCTACAATAAATCTGGAGAGGGGCCTGGGACAAGGGATGTAGGGACAGGGCAAGGGGAATGGCTTTAACCTGACAGGGGGGAGACTAGGGTGAGCTCTTAGGCAGAAGCTCTTCCCTGTGAGGGTGCTGAGGCGCTGGCACAGGGTGCCCAGAGAAGCTGTGGCTGCCCCATCCCTGGCAGTGTTCAAGGGCAGGTTGGACACAGGGGCTTGGAGCAAGCTGCTCTAGTGGAAGGGGGCCCTGCCCGTGGCAGGGCTTGGAGCTGGACGAGCTTTAAAGTCCCTTCCAACCCAACCCAGTCTGGGATTCCAGGATTCAGGAATCAATAGCGTGTTGAGGAGAGGATGCCCTGGAGGGGAGGATTGAAAGGGGACTCTCAGGCTTTCCCCGAGTACATGGAGTATTTCCCAGTCTGGAATATAGGAAACATTGGACCGAGTGCATGCAGCCAAAGGGAGGCAGAGCAGCGCTGCTGGTCTGCAGCTAAGGGGTGTCCTAGGCAGAAGTGGCAAGGGAGCAGAGAACAACACAACCTCCTTGGATAGGGGATGCCCTGCTTTGCAATGACAGCAGTGACAAAGCCACAGTCCCTGCCCACAGGGTTCCTGGGTGGGAAGCCCAGGTCCCAGCATGACCATGTCACCTCAGCCAGATCAGAGCCTCTTCCCACATCCCTCCTCGCATGCAGCACCCACTGCAGTAGCCAAAATACCAGGGCAAGAGCCAGGCCTAGCACTCACCTGCCAGCGAGCCCAGGGCACTGCATGCCAGCATCATGGGCTGCCACCCGGCAGCGCTGGGGACTTGAGGACGTCACAGAAGCACGGAATGGTTTGGGTTGGGTGGAACCTCAAAGCTCATCCAGCTCCAAGCCCTGCCACAGGCAGGGATACCTTCCACTAGAGCAGCTTGCTCCAAGCCCCTGTGTCCAACCTGGCCTTGCACACTGCCAGGGATGGGGCAGCCACAGCTTCTCTGGGCACTCTGTGCCAGGGCCTCAGCACCCTCAAAGGGAAGATCAACTTCCTTATGTCTAATCTAAATCTACATGGGGAAGTAATGCCTCGTATAAACATTTAAACAAACAGATCATAGGAAGAAATTCATACACCATAGTGCAATTAGTGACAAAACAATGTCAACTATGTCTGAAAAATAACCCTAAGACTGAAAACAGGAATCAGGTAGGGACAATTGGAAAAGGGAATCATCTGGGACCACAGTGGCAAATAGATTTTTCTGAATTACCTAGAAAAGGAGGTTATCGATATTTGTTGGTATCGACAGATACTTTCTCAGGGTGGCCAGAAGCATTTCCTTGCAGGACAAATAATGCAAAACAAGTGATTAAGGTTCTATTAAGTGAAATAATACCTGGTTTTGGGGTACCAGCAACTAACTCCTCTGACCGCGGTACACATTTCAGTGCAAATTTATTACAAGAAATCAGCAAGAAATTGGAAATAGATTGACAATTACATGTTCCATACAGGCCTCAGGCCAGTGGGCAAGTGGAAAAAATAAATCACTTAATTAAACAACAGCTTGGGAAGATTTGTCAAGAGAATAAGTTGTATTTAAGAAAAAGAAACACTTAACTTTTTTAACTTAGAACATGAACAGCGGAGGCCTCAGTTTGCTTCCTACAAGTGAAAAACACTCACTTCATACAGCTCTATATGCAGCAAGCTTGGCTATGTGTAGAAATGCCAACTATAAATGCTTTAGCTCAGCTGTCGTACTGGTTTTGGAAACCAACTAGGAGTAAGCTATGCAGTGCTCAGCTGCTGGATGGGCTGACACCATGGAAGCTGTTTAGTTTATTTGATAGAGTGCCTTGTCTGTGATCCTTCCTGGATTTGAAAACTCTGCACTTGGGAAGAAGAAATTGTGCTGAAGTTCTTTGGTTATAAACCAGTAGCAAATGGTATCTCAACAGCAGTTTTTATTTGCTATCCTACGAGGCCTATCCATGAGGCCATAGGCACAAAAGTGTTACTGTTTTGTATTTCAGAGCAGACAGCTTCATTGGAGCTCACTGGAAATAGGACAAGGTGCCCCACGTCAACAGGCAGAAACCAGGAACGTGACAGGGGTTGCAGAACAAGTAAGTCGTTTGCTTTCTGGGTTAACAGTAGGAGACCAGGTTGATATGGCTCAACCTTCATCTCTCTTCAGAGGAATGAACATTTTCCTGGTCATCTGTTTGGGACAGGCATTCATTGTAACCAATGAGATGCAGAAGCCCAGAAGGGGATCCTACAGGAAGGAGCGTTTTTGAAGGCCCTCTGTGCTGTTTGTGAAAGCAGAAGATGCCTTCCTTGCTGACCACCTCTTGCCTGGACACGTAAGTGCTGCCTATCATGAGCATTGACAGCACACCATAAAGGAGAACGGGCTAAGAGGGACCCTAAGCCTTTTGCTTTCCAAGGGTGGTTAATAGCCGTGTGTTTGCTGACAGCTACGAGGGTGACAACACTCACGAACCGCCTTAAGCAATGGATGATTTTTAAGTTCAGGCCCAATTTGTGTCTGGTTTCTTTCGCTCTCTTTAAAAAGGCAGAATGAGGACCAAGCAGTATGTGCTGTGATTAAGTTGGTGATGTGCGCTCTGCTTGCAGTGAAAGACCATTAATGTCAGAGCATTGGATAACCCGTCGAAGAAAACTGGGACAGAAATGATAAACTGAGTGACCTGAATGGTTTCATCCATTTTTATGCTGGGTCCTGTGCCAAGGTATTGACACAAAGCAGTCAGATCTAAGGTTTGGATGAGAAGTGTTTTCTGTGATGGGAATAGTCATTTCATACGGGTTTTGGCCAGTGTCTGGACAGTGGTTTCAGTATGTGGCCTGCAGACACTAGAAGGTGACAGGTGACTAGTATGTGGCAGGGGGGCTGGAACTTAATGATCTTAAGGTCCTTTCCAACCCTAACTATTCTATGATTCTATGATTCATGAAAATACATCAAGAAAGGCAGGGCAAAGAGCATGCAACTGTCTGCGACTATGAGGTTGATCACGTACACCCTGGTCTCAGTCCATCTCTTGAGTTTGCAGCAGAAGAGCCAGAAGGCAATCATGTTCGGTGGGATCCCCAAAGAGAGCACTGGGATGTAGACTATAAGTTGGAACAGCGCAATGCTATTCCGCATGTCGTCGTCTTCAGTGCAGTTCTCCATGTTGGGTTGTCTCTGCAAGAAAAGGGGGCAGGCATGAGACTGACCTTGGGGCAGGTTGTCTGGGCTGGGTTCTGCTGCAGTGCCCTGCCTCTCACGGCTCTGTGGCTGCTCATGCCCCTGCACTGCAGATGTAGCTCATCAGCACCATCTATCCCTCACCTATCAAAGCAACTCGGCAGCAGCTAACACAAAACCACAAAGGCAATTGTCTCGCAGCTATTACAGGGTTAGCCCTGCCTTGTCCTCCATCCAGTTCTAGTTTGGACAGCTTGACTAATAGCAAAGGGTGTGCAAAGCAGAATGATCTTTTCTGTGGTTCCTTATCTTTGCTGCTGCTGTATTTATCTGAGATCCACTGGCTTTAAGGCAGCCCAAAGCAGAGCTGGGCAGCATTCCCCCTTTGTCCCCAAGGCCCTTGCTTTGTTGCTGAAGCCACCCTTTGCTCTGGGTGTTGCCAGGCTTGTGAAACTCCGAAGACTTGAGTCCTTCCAGATGTGAGGGTAGCTCAGGTGGCTTTATATACTCCTGGAGTGGTGGGAATGCTGCTGCAGGCTGCTGGGTGCAGACAGGTGAATGCTGTGGGCAGGCTGTGTCCAACCATGGAAGCAGAGAATCAGCCAGGTTGGAAAAGACCTTTAGGCTCATCCAGTCCAACAGCTCCCCAGCACTGCCAAGGCCACCACTAACCCATGGCACTGAAGACCTCGTCTCCACGGTGTGTGAACGCTTGCAGGGACGGTGACTGCAGCCCTGCCCTGGGCAGCCTGTTTCAATGCCTGAGCACCCTCTGGGGAAGTAATTGTTCCTCAGCTCCATCTAAACCTGCCCTGGTGCAGCTTGAGACCGTTTCCTCTTGTCCCATCCCTTGTTCCTTGGGAGCAGAACCCAGCCCCTCCTGGCTCCTTCCTCCTGTCAGGCAGTTGTAGGGAGTGATCAGGTCCCCCCTGAGCCTGCTCTTCTCCAGACTGAACCCCCCAGGTCCCTCAGCCGTTCTCCATCACACTTGGGCTCCAGGCCCTGCACCAGCTCTGTTGCCCTTCTCTGGCCCTGCTCCAGCACCTCAATGTCTCTCTTGCAGTGAGGAGCCCAGAACTGAACTCAGGATTTGAGATGCAGCCTCACCAGTGAAGGGGTTGATCACTGCCCTGGCTCTGCTGGACACACTATTGCTGATACAGGCCAGGATGCTGTTGCCCTTCTTGGCTGACTGGGCAAAAGCTGGCTCATATCATGCTGTCATGAACCCACTCCTCTCTCTGCAGGATACTGGGGAGGAATTGCTCAACAAAAGTACCACCAGCCCCAGCAGATAACATCTCCAAAGAGAGAAGGGAATGTGAGCACGTGTCTGATCTCAACCTTCAAAGACAGGAAACCAAAATGTTGCTGGAGCAGAAAACACAAATCCAATAATTTAGACTATCTCCTGGCATTCCTTTAGATATTCAGGGCATTCGCTACCATCAAGGAGGCTGTGGAAGATGAATCACATTTAGTCTGCAGTTTGTAAAGGAAGTGTTTACGTCAAGGCAGGTAGAGAAAACACCCAGAATCTTACAATCTCTTACAAATACATTGCCTTATAAGTCAGCAGCTTGTAAATATCAACTTAGTAGTTAAACTGTAGTGAAAATGCCCAATTGCATGAACTAAGTGAACTGGGTTTAGTGTCGGAGACTGGGAAATGGATCTGACAACCACAGAGGAAAGCACAGCACCTGCCCTAGCACCAGAACTGATGTGTCATTACTGAACCACAGGGATACAGTAATTTTTAGGTTGGAATTTATGGAGGAACTAATACACAGCTGGTGTCCTGGCTCTTTGGGGCTTTCAGCCTCAAGGTCCTTGGCTGCATTGTGGTACCACCTACCTTGCAGCCATTCCCTGCCAGCCTACTGTGGGTATCCCACAGTGAAAAAGCCACTTTCTGCATGCAGAGCACTGCTTGAGGAGCAGCTGAGCCCTATGTGGCCCCCATCAAACCCCCTGTGCAAGCACAGAGCCAGCAGTGATTCCCAATGTTCTGTGCTGCAGCGTGCCTGGAGCTGGGTATCTCCATGTGCACAGACAGGAACTGGTGTGAAAGCAAAGCTAGGGATGAAGACCCCCCTGAATGACACAGGCGTCTGCAAAGCGGGAGGACACCGAAGCACCTGTGTGCAGGCGAGGATTGAATTAGAATGGTTTGGGTTGGAGGGGACATTAAATCTCACTCAGCTCCAACCCCCTGCCATGGACAGGGACACCTTCCTCTAGACCAGGTTGCTCCAAGCCCCATCCAGCCTGGATTTAAACACTGCCAGGCATGGGGCAGCCACAGCTTCTCTGGGCATCCCTGTGCCAGGGCCTCAGCACCTTCACAGGGAAGAACTTCTGTGTAGTGTCTAACCTAAATCTCTCCTCTGTCAGGTGAAAGCCATTCCCGGCTTGTCCTGTCACTACAGGCCCTTGTCAAAAGCCCCTCTCCCGATTTTTTGTAGGTACTAGAAAGCTGCTCTAAGGTTTCCCTGGAGCCTTCTCTTCTCCAGGCTGATTCTCTCAGCCTGTCTTCATAGGAGAGGTTTGTTACAATAATCTTTGGTCTCATGCATGTATATTAACAATCAGGCTAGCGCTTCAATTATGAGGTGAGAAAGCACACCCAAGTATGTATTGAGCAGAGCACACACCGGTGTGGGAAGAAGTAAAAGCCATTACCTGCTTGTGGGGTGGTCAGGGTGGTTTAATCCTCTGGAAGGTTGCAGCGAGGACACAGGCATTGTGGCAGGAGAGAGGATGTGCCAGGGCCGTGGGTACCAGTGCAGTATGCTACTCCATGCAGGGCACAACTGCCTCAGAGCCTTGCTGCTGGCAGCTGAAACACAGCAATGAGCTCTTGGTCCCCAAAAGCAGTTCATTTATCACCTACTTTCTGGGACAGTTGAGTCTCTGGTGCTCTCTGTTGTTCTGCTAGCATCAGCTGGATGCTTCACCATCATCCTTACCCACCCAGCCTGTGCTCTCCAACTTGCCTCACACAAACCCCAGCAATTAAAATTTAATGTTTTCAGTCGTGGAAAAACAAATAATTTCTGAACTAAAACACGTAATGGTTGTAAATTGCCCTTCTGGCAGCAAAAGGGGGCACAGCAGGGCTGGGCAGCGTCCGGTGTGGTTGCAGAGTGTCTGCAGTGGGGGACTGACAGTCTTTCTGAGGGGACACGTCGGTGCTTGTGCACCCTGTGATAGTGAGCCCAGGGTGAGAGGTCCCAGCATGCTTCTATTCAGTGTCTTTACAAGAAGGGTGACAGTCGTTATGGGCTGGGTGAAGCTCTGTGAAGCAGTCAGGTGTCTTAACACTGCCCATCAGCATCACTGCAAAGCCCAGGCTGGTAATGACAGTCGCTGGTCAGAGATACTGGTGAGGCAGTGAGCACACTATTGGGACCTTTAGAAACTTGTTTAAGAGCATGCCCCAGTGGGACTTTACAGTCATTTTGATGGGTTTTGCTGTCTGTTGGCTGCAGCAGTTGCAGTCCTATCTGTGAGAGCCAGGTTCTAGCTTCCTCAGGATTTGTGCCATTAGTTCGTGTCTTCTGAACTCACAGTTCCATAGGTGACAACAGCAGATTGAGCAGCAGCCATGGGCTCCCTGAAGGCAGATGCAGATCACAGGCATGGGTGACAAAGGTCTAGACAGAGTTGAAAGGGCTTCCTCAGGGGTGTGAGCAGTAGCCTGAGGGGGAGGTGTCTGTGCCAGGGCTCAGCCCTGATACCTCCTGGACTTTGTGCCTTTATGGCACTGGGTAAGTCCTGCTTTCATCCTTCACATCTATATGATGCATTGACTTGAAGACGAAGGGCAGTCACCAGAGTCTAGGCTGTTTTGTAGGGCCATGTACTTAATAATATGCTGTTACTGCCTGAACCCTCCTCGCTGCGCTCCAAAGGAATATGAAAGAAATAAACTGTATTATTTTAATAATGCAAACAACCTGAAACACACAATGAGGTAAAACACAATACATTCTTTTTGTATGTATTGACAATAAGGATCAATAGACTTTAGCTGCAAAATGAACTAAAACGGGGAGACATACATGGGTCTCTTGTAAGAGTAACTTCTTGTTAGAAGTAAGAGTAATTCTTGTAAGGTTGAAAGAAAAAAAAGATTCCTGAAAATTATAAAGTCTGGCACAATCCTATCCTAAGAGTCAATTTATCTTGTCTTTTCTCTACAGAGAGTTTGCAGATTTTGGCAAAGATCCGGTTTCCAGTAATAAAAGTCCCCAAGGACTTCTGGTGCCTAACACCTTCTCTTCCTGGATCCTGAGCACATTGCTGTGATTAAACTGTCTGTTACAGACAATATTGTTACTATTTGTGTTTATTATTGTAAGAGGAAAAGAGCACAAAAATGTTTGCATATTAAACGCTGGATAATATTGCCACTGATGGGTCTGAAGTGACTCTGCAGAGAGAAGTGCCCA